TCTTTTTTTTGTTCCTTTTTTTTTTTTTCTTAAAGTTAAAAAACCTGCCTCCGCTGTGGGACCTGCGGGCACGTTACAGCACCTCGTACTTGTCCACCAGGAAGGTGGTCTCAGTAGAAAACCTGACAGGGCTGTTCCCGTCTACCAGGGTCACTTTGGTAACCTGCAGGACAAGAGGCAGAGTTAGTTCAGCACCAATGCCGGGCGCTCATGAGGACAGTGCCAACCCCACACTTTCGAACTGCCACAAAGAGCCGCCTTCTCAGGAAAGCTGGAAATGGGGAAGGGTTCTCTGCAGTAGCTGTCTCTCTGCTAAAAGTAAGCAGCAGTCACTAGGTGCAGCTCAGCAGGGACAGACAGAAGGCATACAGAATCATGGCATCACAGACTGAGTTGGAAGGGAACTTAAAGCTCATCTAGTTCCAAGCCCGACATGGGTAGGGACACCCTCCACTAGACCAGGTTGCTCAAAGCCCTGTCCAATTTGGCCTTGAAGGCTGCCAGGGATAGGCAAAGAGACAGAGAGACATGTTTTGGCTTGAAGGCTGATGGTTTCTCTATCAAAGGCTGAGGGGAATTAGTGGTTGCCAGAGTCACAAAAGTACAGACCAAATGACCAGTCAGCTCTGGGGAGCTGAAGCTGCCAGTGCTGTCCACTGGCACCCCAAACCCAGCCAACACAGAGGAAACCTCATGCCAACGCCTGAGCCTTCACCAAGAGCAGCAGCAGGGCCTACAGGCCACCACAAAGCCATTTATGGCCATGACTGAGGCAGCTTGGAGGAGCAGAGTGACACCAACATGCCCACGGAGCACGAGCAGCGGCCATACCTGTATGTTGCAATAGTTCTTTTTGGAGATGAAGGAGACTTGCACCGGGAAGAAGTCGTTTGGCTGCCCTGCTATGCTGAACTCCAGGCTGCCACTCTTGTTTTTGGCATCTATCACTGGCAGGCACCACTCAAGGAGGTTTCTCCGGCTGTCGTGGCGATACTCACCATCAATCTCCCCAATCACTGGAGCACCAACACCAGACCTAGAGCAGGCAATGAGAAGTTACAACAGCTCAGCTGCACAGAGCTAAGAAAGTGATTGTCCAGCCTGTTGGCTTGTCTGGACCCACAAACCAGAGAGGGGAGGGAAGCAATGGGATCCAGGACAGACACTGGATAATGCTGCCTGGACAGAGAACTTTACTTACGGCAAGGGGATGGTGATGATCACATCGTTCAGCTCCAGGCTCTCCTCTTGTAACTCGTATTCAATGTTAACATCACAACTGTTGCCACTTTCTGATGGCCAGCAGTTAACTGAGGGCACAGAAACAGCGGGTGAACCACGTGGCCTCTCAAAAGCTGATGTGCTTCAAAAGACACTGCAAAGGTGTCCCCAAGAAAACCTGACTTCAAGAAAAGCTTTCTTTTCTTCAAGAGTGTTACAGAAAACACATGTCACAAAGATCAGACACTACCCAGGGGAGCACATCTCCGACATCTCAACCCAGTGTGCCACACTTCAGGCAGCCCAGCTGCTGGAGGCTGGGTA